TTGGCGCAACCCCTTGAAGGAAAAGTCCGTCATGTGAGAGCAGTGACATATATATATATATAAGGTAGACTCTTGATTGGTAAACCGGCCCCATTTGCATTGGACATCCTCTTCATGTGTGGGGCTTATCCAATTATTCCCGATGTTGTTTCTTTGGAGAAGGCATATGAAGGCATGCCGTCACGCTGTTCCAGGGTTCATGACCAAACCTGCAGCAAGTGCTGGATTGAACGCCTGCAGCATGGTGTTCCCCTCGGTTCTACAGCCCTGCAGGTCACTTGGTACCGCCAATTGCTCGGAGAGCACTTGGCCAGGGGAGCTGAAAAGGCTGACGAGTTGGAGGAGTGCTTCTCTGAAATCGTGACCTGGCATGTTGTTTGAATTTTGTAGGCCTGATGGGTGACATCCCCTAAGATTGAAGCAAATAGGCTTAAGACGCAGTGAAATTGATCGAACATCAGTCTCCTGGACAGATAAAGAATGCTGATAGAGTCGAGACAGTGCTGGCCTGTGGGTACCAGTTTTGGCTAGTGCTTTGGCTGTTTTTGTCTCTGTTTGTTTCCTGTGTTCGATCTTAGATATTCCGATTGGTTAAGCTGATGTGTTTCGTTTTGGCGGACGCAACCGCCAAGGTCCGAACCTGGCCGAATGTGGAGGTGTCGAAGAAGCGGAAGCGGCGCAACGAACCGCTGTGCTCCACTGGAACGAAGCGAAGGACCAGAGAACCTGAGCCCAAAAGCCTCTAACTGGAGGAGAAAGGTCGGACCGCGGAGGAGGGACCGCTGTTGCACCGGTTGAGATGAGAGACCGCTGTTCCTGCGCCGCCTTTGTTTTTGGGAAACACCCAGGGTGACCAAGTGAATTGGGGTGGGGGAGGAATTTGGGATGCACTGGTGATGCAGGAGTGCTATGCGAACTACGTGTTGCACGGAACCTCAGAAAATTCAGAAACTGAAGAAGAAGTTTGGCACAGTGGGAGTACTGATTCGTTCTCATATATCGCATCATTTTAGTCGATCCTTTAGCAGGTATAGAGTAGAGCTATTTTGGAGGGATTTTGGTTGAAGAAGTGCCCAATTAATTGAAACATGTTCCATAGTTGATAGTGCATTCATGAGTTTGCTGGCTTGAGATTCATGAAATCTCATGGTCCACAGCAGGCTTGCTTTGCATTCAGGCTGGCCTATGCAGCGACATATTGTTTGTATGATTATGGCATCGGCATTCATGACCACCCGACCGTCAGGCCACAAGCAATCTATTACTCATGAAGACCAACCAGCTTGGATGGTCTAGTCTAGCAGGCCTTGTGGAAGTATGCAAGAGAAATCATTCGCTGACTCAACGATGAAACTCGCAAGACGGTTCCTGTTTGTGTGCGACTACAAGGTTAAGCCGGCTTCATCCGACACAGCAGACCTGTCCTTGTTGCAACTACTTGATGGCTCGAAATTCATCAACATGTTTGACATATATGGGAACCCAATCACAGGTTCAGGACTCCCCAATTGAGGACAGATGCACATGATCCCACATGGTGACTTGAGGAGCTTATGTGCAGCAACAGAAAGCCAAAAGGTCACAACAATTCAATTCTCAATTCTTTGCTTTGGGCATCTAAGGAAGCTGTAGGCACTTACAGGGTGGTAACTCACGGAAGTCTCAGTCTCAGCTTTCATGCGTTTCGACAGTTGAACTAACGAGTTGATGTTTCCGATCAAGACAAGTCTTTTGGATGCATGACCTTAGGTCGCCCCATGACGCCTTGCGTACACTGCCAGAGCTCCACCCTGCGGAGGTTCTACTGTAACTATGCGAACTGTCCAGGCGTGCGCAGGGCAATCTATATTTGTGAGGATTGCCATATTCGTGGCTGTCCATACTGCAACGGATACATCGCAGACTATGAGATTTGGACGGATAGCAGTTTGACACTGGAACCGGAACCGGTCAGCATCACCCAGCACCTGAACCCCAGCCACGGCCTGTCGGAGGACCTCAGCTCGCAGATTGAGACACACAGCAACGAAGACGACATGGGTGGGGAAAATGGCTTGACCGAGACTCCGATCGTCGACAAGACCCACGTGTACTTCATCCTCCTTGATCTCAAGTACACACTGGTCCAGTATAGGACCGGTCAACAAGACCTACGTGAAAGCTTCCGGATTAGACCGTTTGCTTGCGATGTACTTCACCATCTTCTGAAACTGCAAGAGCAGGGTGTTTGTCAGATGTGCTTCCACTCCACTCTGGCAGCCAAGAATGCCATTTGGATGGCACGGCAGCTGCTTGAGAAAGTCACCTCAACAAAGTGGAACTCAGACAATGAACACAGAAGCCTGCGAGAGAGCACATCTGGCAAAAAAGTTTGGCTTTTGCATGGTGAATACAGTCAAAACAACCCGTGGCATGTCCACGAAAAGTCTGGGACGCCCATGCAAATCAAGGACTTGGAGTCCGTCTTCTACGAGTTTGAAGACATGTCCGATGATGCCAAGTGCTTTTCTAGAAGCTCCTTGGTATTCCTCACATGTGCCGGAACGACGCCCGGCAGGAATGTAGATGAAGCTAGCGCGAAGAACCTGCTCAAAGTGAAGTCTTGGCATGGGAGTTCACAAGATCAGGAATTGCAGACTGTGCTGAAGTACTTCCATGACTTCTTTGTGCGGAGACCCTCGGACGCCCGCATTCATTTGCACCAAAAAAGGCTGCACCAGTCAGGTGCCGAAGATCAGGTGGCCAACGTGTGAGGACTTTAGATCATTGCTGCTGGCAGCTGCTAGCACTCTTTTCAACGGGGCTCACACACTTAGGGAAGTGAGCGTGAGGCTTGGGCGTCCGCACTTCATCTCCCAGCACCCCAAAGCCAACATAGCGCTTGGGGAAGGCGGAGCTCTGTTGGCTGGAAAATGAAGGTGAAGAGTTATGCCGCTATGCCATGTTTGTCAGGTCCTTCCAACAACATCACAGAGCCTCTAACAGTGCCAAGTGAAAAGAAGCGGAATGCAGTGTATCCTACAGAAAGATGGGCTTCCAGAAACTCCCACTGGCCATTTGAACTTCTCAGTGGACTGGGTCATTTGATCCGACCAAGGCGCACAGCTTCACGCTGCCTTGCTTGCAGCAAGCCGGTTGCTCAAATGAATGGTTATGGAGGAGGGTCATGAGTCCGCAGCGCATCGATTTGGTCGTTTTGCGAGCACTTTTGTTCACTATATAAGTTTGACCAGATTGACTATGGGTCAGGTGACCGGTTCTTTTCGCCAGTCCCAGAAGTCCCATGTTAACTTCCATCTTCACCGTCCAAGAATTTTCTATCTTTGGAAGCAAGATGGAAGTGGAAAAGATGGAAGTGGAATATTGTAAGGGCTTCGCCCGGGTGCCGCCGACCCCTTTTCAAGAGG